CAGAGGTCAAAGGAGAATGGGCAGACTGGCTAGAGATGACAGAAAGGCAACAGTAACTCAAAGAACCACTTGTTGCAACCAAGGTATGCAGGATACCATCGCTGAACGCATAACACGTCAAACCTTGAAGCAGATGGGCTACAGCAGCAGCAGACCACGCCAGGTGCCACTCCTGTCAGCTAAGAACAGGAAACAAAGGCTACAGTTAGTACAGGCTCACCAAAATTGGACAACAGAAGATTGGAAAAATGTTGCCTGGTCTGATGAGTCTCAATTTCAGCTGCGACATTCAGATAGTAGGGTCAGAATTTGGCATAAACAACATGAAAGCATGGATCCATCCTTGTATCAACGGTTCAGGCTGGCTGGTGGTGGTGGTATAATGGTGTGGGGAGATATTTTCTTGGCACACTTTAGGTCCCTTGGTACCAACTGAGCATTGTTTAAACGCCACGGCCTACCTGAATGTTGTTGCTGCCCATGTCCATCCTTTTAGGATTACAGTGTACCCATCTTCTGATGGCTACTTCCAGCAGGATAATGCACCATATGCCAAAGCTCAAAATCATCTCAAACTGGTTTCTTGGACAATGAGTTCACTGTACTCCAATGGCCTCCACAGTCACCAGATCTCTATCCAATAGAGCACCTTTTTGGATGTGGTGGAACAGCAGATTCGCATCATGGATGTGCAGCCCACAAATCTGCAACTGCATGATGTTATCTTGTCAATATGGACCAAAATCTCTGAGGAATGTTTCCAACACCTTGTTGAATCTATGCCACTATTAAGGCAGTTCTGAAGGCAAAGGGGGTCCAACTCAGTATTAGCAGGTGTACCTATTAAAGTGGCCGGTGAGTGTATATGCAGATTGGATGCAGTTTGAACTGCACAATGACACATTAAATATTTCATATGTCAATGTGCATGATATATGTAATAACATTGCTTCCTATGGTGCCTGTTCACATATGTCCAGCGACTAGCGGTGCGGATTCAGTGTGGTTTGAAAAAGAGTTCTGTACAATTTCTGAGCAGTGCCTTCAGGTTCAGATGTGGATTACAGACTATTGTGTGCACATGAAAAAATCCTGACCTAATCCTATCCTGAACCTGATGTAAACTTGACATGAACCGCTTAACAACTACTTTGTCAATTAGCTGTGAAACCTGAGCTTCAATCCTAACTCACATTTATACTTGCACATACCAGGGCCAGATTAGAAAGGAGCCAATTTAACCTACCAGCATGTCTTTGGAGTTTGGGAGTACCCAGAAGAAACCCATGCAGGCACAGGGAAAATATACAAACTAACGGCAGGTAATAAACTTGATGGTAATTTGTGCTCTCTCGCTCTCTGGGATGCAGCCAGCAAATGCACAATTGTTTTTTGAAATTTAAAAAGGAAGGTAGTACCATGGGACCGGCAACATTACCATTAGCCGCCCGGCCAATGGCTGTTTGGCAGCTTCAAAAGTGTGTTGCTGCATTCCGGGCGCACGCCATTTGGCGTGCTCCCGCACATGCGCAGTTTGCGCTAATGCAGAGTGGCGCAGCAGTGCGATCTGTCACCGGCCGTGTACCTCGGACACGGCCGATGACAGATCCGAGTACCGCCTCCCGTTGCTGGTACCATATGACCTGCTGTGACCAATCACAGCAGGTCACATGACAGTTGTATACAATGGATGGCTTCATTCATTATGCCATCCATTGTATACTAGTGCCTAGCTGTGAATGATCACAGCTAATCACATGCACATGTCATGTGATTAGCTGTGACCAAATCACAGCTAAGCACAAAAAAAAAAAAAAAACTGAATGAATCGATTTCATTCAGGTAAATGCTTGCTTATAGCAAAGTAATTCTTTGCTATAAGCAAATTGTGTAAAAAAAAAAAAAAAAAATACTGATCACTTCCCCAAAGTAGTACACTTCCCCAAAGTAGTACAATGTTACTATGGTAACATTGTACTACTTTGGTCATAGTAAAATATGAAAAAAAATCTTTAAAAAAATAAAAATGTAATAAAAAATTAAAAATAATAAAAAAAAAAAAAAAAAATTAAAAAAAATATATTTTTTTTTTCCATACTGTCACCAGTCAGTGTCTCTGATCACCGCCATGCCAGTTATATGATGACGCTGTACTGCACTGGTGACAGTATGTAAAAAAAAAAATAGTGAAAATAATTTTTTTAATTTTTTCATTTTCCCGAAAAAATGACAAAAAAAATACAACTTCAAAAAACTCGCTATGCCTCTTATGAAGTACGTCGGACTGTCTATTCTGCAAAAAGGGGTCATTTGGGGGATATCTGTACTGTTCTGACATTCTTGGACCTCAAGAAATTAGATTGGCTGTCAGTACTTCAGGATTGATCAATATTCAGATATATACCATAGTTTGTGAACTCTATAACTTTCCTACAAACTAAATAATACATCCTAATTTGGGTTATTTTTACCAAAGACATGTAGCAGAATACATCTCGGCCTAAATTTATGAAGAACAATTATTTATTTGTAAACTTTTATAACAGAAACAAAGAAAAATGTGTTTTTTTTTCAAAATTTTTGGTCTTTTTTTTGTTAATTTAGCAAAAAATAAAAACCCCAGCGGTGATTAAATACCACCAAAAGAAAGCTCTAGTTGTGAGAAGAAAATGATAAAATTTTAGTTTGGGTACAGTGTTGTATGACCGCGCAATTGTCATTCAAAGTGTGAGAGCGATGAAACCTGAAAAATGGCCTGGGCAGGAAGGTGTAAAATTGCCCGGTATTGAATTGGTTAATGCTAGGTGGATGTGCTAACCAGAGATCACTGCTGTATTTTGGGTCCATGCTCTGCTGCATAGTTAACACACAGGGTTCCTTTATTGGCATAGGCACCATTCACAGAGCACCTTGCATTTTTCTCAATGAACGTAAGGAATTCTCTGACTGCACTAGGTGGAGACTGTGACGTCAATGGCCCACATCTCCACTTGCACAGTAACATCCAATAAACTTGAATGTGCTGCACCCACATCATTGAAATAAGGTCCCATTCAAGTCTATAGCAAAGTGCTACATAGTCATGGGCAGTGTCAGACAGGATTTCTGCACCAAGGCTGTAAACACCATAATGGGCTGCTTCAGCAAGAAATAGGTAGGCACCGGAAAGGGGAAGGGGGTTGCCTGGAATAGGTTAAGGGGGCTAGAGAGTTTCTTTTTTTTTCCCCAAAAAATCAACAGTCTTAACCTGTCCTGCATCATTTAAAAAAACCCTAACCCTGAATTTAACCATAATCTTTGACTATCTAACCACTGTACCCAAGTCTTACTTAAACCTTAAAGGGTAAATACAGCCATTGTTTAGAAAAAAAAAAAAAAGTTAAAAGCTATAAATACTGCAGCTGCTGACCGTAGACACTCACCAGCCCAGGGATGTGGCATGGTCTTCACCCAGGCAGGTTTATTACCAATCTTTGTCCCTGGGACAAAAAGCCAAACCCACACTGACTCAGGAACCTCTCGCTCTGCCTGTGTGTGCGGTGCTGGGAATGTCTGCATATAAGGCAGTTCTAAATGGGAACTGCAGACTCCAGATTTGAGCAAGCACAGGGGGAACGTACATACCTGGAGAAGGGAGGGGTGATGTACGAGGAAGATCAAAAGATAAAAATGCATGTAAATTTCTGTTTTAAGCAACTAATTTAACCAAAAAATTGACTTGATGTTTACTTTAACCCAATCCCTAAATGACCATACATACTTTTTCAGAAGCCTCAATGCAAAATTGCACTGATCCTTGGTTTGCCTTATGCTACCTATTAGCAAACTAGGAAAGTGCTAATAAAGACACTGGAAGCACAGTCTAAATTAAATGCCACACTTTTTAACAGTTTACCTATTCTATAAATATAATCTGCAATTATAGGACATTTGTAAACGCATATAAATGCAGGAAATAAGTTTTCAATAGTGCCATTCACACTGAGCATTTACCTGCGTTTAGAGAAAAAAAAAAAAGAATTCTGTGTATCAAGGGTCAGATTAGAAACTCTAAAGATGGCTAAACACATGTAAAAATGGCAAAACCCAGAAACATCTAATACAGGAAAAAAGTGATCTGAGAGGCATAAAATATGTTTATACTTCTCTTATATAATCTTCCGAGTTTAGAAAAGCTCAAAGAGAAAAGTGCCAGTAGGAATGAGGCCTTAGAAAGTTGCAAGCAATAGTCTACTCGGTCACAGGTTATCTTTAACCTCTCTAAAGGCAACTATTCTCCATTGCACATACAAAGTAATCACATGTGATTCACAGCTCTGACCTTTATCCGCAAGGAGGTCATATGTCATGTGATAAAAATGCTGTTGCTGGTTGTCACCTGCCCTTTACTCACACTCCCTGCCCCTGGCTGTTTATCCATAGTCACAGCTTAACCCCTTCACTTAACCAGACAAAAAAAAAAAAAAAAAAAAAAAAAAAAAAAAAAAAAAAAGGAGTCGTGTTTCAAGACAAAAAGCAATAGTTTCCAAATCAAGGTAAGTTAAAACAGGTTATTTATGCTTTAAAAAAAAAAAAAAAAAAAAAAAAAAAACAAAAAGAAAGCTTTCATAACAACTATGATTCCTTCTACAAATACTCAGGCTGAGAAAAAAAAAACACATGCACACCGTTGAAGCAGAGGGGAGTACATTTGAAAAGGGTGGTTAAAGGAAACATTTCCTGTTACTGATAGCAACCAGCCTCCAAGCATCATTTCTGCAGCCTGAGCCTGAAAATGGTTTACTATGTAGCTAGAAATAAATCAACGTTTAATATCTAAACCTTTAAATGTCGTAAAGAAAACAAAGGAGGGTTTGGGGTCTTTATCTACAAGAAAAAATGGCAGCTGAAGTACTTCTGATTGCTATGGGTAGGGCATTTAATTTTTTTTAATAATGAAGACCCAATGTGGATCAAACTTTTCACTGAATTTTCATATCTTATAGAAAGGTGTACTGTACCTTCCTTCCTCATGCCCACACGGAAACACTTCTTCAGTCGGCAGTACTGACATTGGTTTCGGTGATGCTGGTCAATCTGACAGTCCCGATTTGACCTGTGTGTGGAGACAAATGCAAGAATGAAAACAGGGAACCTATTCAAATCACTAACAAAACACAGGCTTGCATATCTAAGGTGCAGATCCTTCACAGCTGTCAAGTGATAAATAAATTACTTTGTTACTTATAAAAATTTCATAAACAGTCACTAGCACAAAATGTCCCAATTTTACACTAGAGCACTCATTTCTTGCACAAAAAATGGATGTATAGGAACCATCAATCAAGATTTGGTGTGAAAATGTAAAAAAAAAAAAAAAAAAAAAAAAATCTGTACAGCCACAAACAACCCTTTTTCCTGGTAACCGTAGATTCATCATTTTTCCACAATAACTAACATGTCATACTTACCTGCTCTGGGCAATGGTTTTGCACAGTGCAGCCCCGATTCTCCTCTTCTCAGGTTCCACGCTGGCACTCCTTGCTCCTCCTGCCTTCCAAGTGCCCCCCATAGAAAACTGCTCGGTATGGGGGCTTGGCTCTAACCCCCCCACCCCACGAGTGCAGCACACCTGCTCTACAACCTTAAAGTGGAACTTTATGTAAAAATAAAACAAAAATGGGTGAACAGGTGATGTCAGTGGCCAAAGCTCCAGTACACTGCATCATTTGATTGAAGGAGAGTACAGTTCCACTTTAAAACGGGACTAAAACACATCAATTTAATGGTTTTCCCAAAAATTTCCATTTAAAGAATGCAGTGAATGCTAACTTTCGCAATTGCCTGTGCGCTCAACAGAAATGTCAAGCCATCAAATATCATCATAACTGATCACATGTGCAGCACCATGGCAAATGCAGTTCATAAGACTACGACGGCAGCTTCCTTCACTGTAAAGGATAGGAGGGTTAAGTGCCACTTTGAGGACTTTGGATAAATGCTGATCTCTGCAAGGGCACTTAGAATACAATGGTGTTTCTAGTTCCCTTACACACACTGCAATACATATGCATATAAATTAAATGCACTGGTCATTAAAAATGCATGCAAATGCCCGTTACTGTACATTAATTCCCAGTACATTTGTATGTGTAGTATGGTGTGAAAGGACCTTTACTGTGGGATTGTGCCAGCAGCTGGACATCCTTTCCTCAAAATGCATCTTCACTGGGTCCCCTTGATACTTTGCATGCATGCAGCTGCCCAACTCATTAATTTGGTTACAGCATGACTGAAAATTTGATAGGGGCCTTCATGAACATAGCTCCCCATAACAATGAATGGGGCAGAGGGTCTACAGTATGTGGAGGACATAGATAAAGTTAATTTAAAATACTAGATATCCTTTTAGGGCTACCCTGTGTTGACAAAGCTACTGTGTGATTTCGAGGCAGAATGAACGTTGCTACGCTAATAAAGAAAGTGGGGATAAAAACATCCATAGCTCTACTTAAACAACTTGCCTACCGGGCACTTATACCCCCTTCTTTACCAGGCCAATTTTCAGCTTTCAGCGCTGTCGCACTTTCACAATTGCGCGGTCATGCAAGATTGTACCCATATGACATTTTTATCATTTTTTTTTCTCACAAATAGAGCTTTCTTTTGGTGGTATTTAATCGCCGCTGGGCACTTTACTTTTTGCGCTATAAACAAAAAAAAGTGAAAAAAATGTGAAAAAAAAAAAAAAGTTTCTTTGTTTCTATTATAAAGTTTTTTTCAAACAAGTCATTTTTCTCCTTCACTGATTTGCGTTGATGAGGCAGCACTGATAGGCAGCACTAATGAGGTGGCACGGATAGGCGGCACCAATGAGGTGTCACGGATAGGTGGCACTGACTGGCATCACTGCTGGGCACTGACTGGCAGCACTGCCGGGCTGCACTGATGGGCACAGGTGGGTGGCACTGCTGGGTGGCACAGGTGGGTGCACTGCTGGGCACCAGGAGGGTGCTGCTGGGCACAGAAGGTGGGCGGCACTGCTGGGCACCGATCAGAGCACTGATCATCAGTGCCCCGATGATCGGTGCCGATCCCTGCTCTGACAACTGCTGGTTCTCAGCAGTACTTTCCTCACGATCTGACAGCGTGAGGAAAGTGCAGCCGAGAACCGGCAATTGCATTTCCCGGTGATCAGCGTGTCATTGGACACGGCTGATCACATGGTAAAAGGCTGCTGTGTATTGGCCTTTTACCACATCAAAGTGATCAGCTGTGTCCATAGGACACAGCAATCATGGAGATCGCTGGGGGCGCGCAGGATAGCGCGTTCTGGGAGGACGTCATATGACGCCCTCCCAGAACTGGCCGGCCGCAGTGTAGCCGTCATTCGGCTATCTGCGGTTGGCAAGTAGTTAATTATTGTTCTATCTACCAAAAAAGGTCAAGCACTTTCCTTGGTTATTTTGAGTCACTGTGCAGCATTCTGTAAGAACCAGGCAGGAAGGGGGCAAGGCTCAGCTTAACTAGAACTAGTTGAACTTTTAATTTGTGCCCTGCCTACACTATGGCAGAAAGAGGGCTGCTGTAGTGGAGATGTAGGAGGGCTGAGTGGCCAAAATAGGTTCCAATCTTTTATATTTTTCCATACATACATAACATTAGTAGGCAAGAGACAAAGAAGGGGTTGCATTTTTTCTAAAACTATATTTTATGCAATCAGTTTAACTGTTGATTTGCTTCAACTCACCATACAAGCTCTGATAACATGTTAATGCTGGTGTTTTACCTATATAGAAACATGCCAAGATTTTTAATCTGCGTCTTAAAGTGGTTCTAAAGTCTAAGTTTTTTTTTTTTTTACTTTAATACATTCCCTGCACACTTAGCCGAGTCCTGTCAGCGATCCAACACTGCCCTGGCTGAAGGTCTCCATTCTCCTCCTGGTCTCACAGGAGATAAAGGCAGTAGCAGGAGCCATAGGCTGTGAGGAGTGGTGGACGTGCTCAAGCTATGCTGTGTGCGTATGGGAGCACACGCAGGTAAGTAGGAGTGGAAAGCCCCTGCAAGGGACTTTAGCAGAGGAGGTAAGGGACCGCTTGTGCAATACCACTTAACAGGTATGCATAGCATCTTTTTTATTTTATGAAGAAAAAAAACAGGCTTTACAACCACTTTTTAGGACCACAGTAAGATAAGCAAGCATATTTTATATTGCTGGCATATGGCTCCTTCCACATTAAAAAAATTAAAGGATAAGTTTACTTTTGGGAAAATGTTGCATGTTCCCAATGCTGCAGGCGCTGTCCGCCCCTCCCTGTGACAGAAGTATGATGAGAAGTTCCCCGTACTAGCTGTCACTTTTTAAAAACAGCATGGCCATGCAGGGCTTCACCCACACAGGCGTGTTACTCATTCACAGTGTTCTGTGAATGAATGAACTACAAGTCCTGACATCCTTTGTAGTAGCAGCTCATTGATTCTTCCTGTCAGTATATCTGCTTGCTCATACATCCCGTACGGACAAGCAGATATACTGACAGGTCTGCAGGAGACCAGCATGGCACTAGCAATCTGCAGAGGGCAATAAGCCTAAATAGGGCAATAGGGCAGTGAGAGGAGAATGAAAACTCCTCCTATTAGCTTTAACCAGTGCTTTGCTGGACACTGATAGAAGTCACAAGACTGCTCTAACTTCTGTGTACTGTGGGAGACCAGATATGGGGAATGCAGGGTCCTGGGTTTGGTGACACTAACTATTTGATTAAAGTGGTGATACCCTTTCAGGGTTTTTTTTTTTTTTTTTTTTTTTTTATTTTACCCTATCTCAGGTAAGGAACAAAAAGGGTTTGAAGGTTGCCCTTTGCAGAGACATTGACACTTTGCCCTGCTTTAGCATAGTGAATGTCTCTTCAATGACACAAATTTGTCGAATACTTACAGTAAGTTTTTCCTTGTGTTTTGTATATTGTTATAATGGAGCATTTAAAAAATTATTTGCCCTCGTCCCTAATCCCAGGGAAACATACACTTTAATTTCTGCATGCCTTTTGTACAGACACATTTATATATAGTTCATGGTCCCTGGTCATATTCCAGTTACCCTACCAGTAGAGTTTTGGGAGAAAACAAGAGCACACACTCAACCCCTCTCTGTCTGGACAGTGCTGATTGTCCCTGTGCTGATCACATGCACCCTCCCAAGAAAAAGAAAAAAACTCTAGCAATACACATCAAACTGAGCATGTGCAGAGTGTCCCCGAGGCTCTGTTCTATCAGGAGATAGAATGTGGAACGTGGAAGAAGGGGAGGATCAGAGAAGACAGGATCAAACATCCTTTTAACCCAATGTAGAGGATTAACCCCTTAAGTTCCACAGTGAGTAGCAAACATGCTTTACTGCATATACAGACTAATTTTACTGTTATGTGTTTAGAAACACTTTCAATTCAGATGCACTGCTGCATTTTTGGCTATGTAAGGGAAACTAAAGCACACAAGACAAACAGGGGTTAATTTACAAAAACTGGAGACTGGTAAATCTGGTTCCACCTACAGCTTGTTCAATTAAGCTTTGACAATGAAAAAAAAAAAAAAAAAAAAAAATGGGAAACAGATTGGTTTTGCCCCTGGTTTTCACCAGATTTTGCACTCTCCAGTGTTAGTAAATCAATCCCACAGTCTTGGACAGGTGGATTTTTAAACTAGGACCTTGCGCTGTAAGGACTGGACGCTTTTGAAGCTACTTCCAGGAGTGTCAGGTGTTTTTTTTTTTCTCCTGCCTCTAAACTTCCCTTCATGTTATCCTATGTGTCCATGCAACTGCTTTTAGCAGTGTTTTGTAGCAGGAGAGTTTAGTGGCAGGAAAAAAAAAAAAAAAAAAAAAAAAAAAAAAAAAACACTGTCAGGGCGCCCTGGAGCAGCAGCATTTTAGTGAAAAAAAAAAAAAAACCCAATACAAAAGCTTGACGCGCTTTAATGCATGTAAGCAAGCCCAAACGCTAGGCACGTTTAATGCTTGAGCATTAACAGCTTCAGCTCCGCCCCATCACAGAAATACTGCTACAGGGTGGCAGCTGTGCTCAAAATCATGTATATATATGTGATTTTGCATTT